TTCCCTTCTGAAATGGGTTGACACAAGTTGTAACAATTCAGTTGATTAATTCTTGGCCCTTTTAAACTCAAGTTCTTGATCTAGATTAGAAGTTTCAGGAAAATCATTTCTTATCTGTTCTAAATTTTGGTCTTTTAGGTAGATGATTTTTTTTATAGATATAGTACTATTAATCGCATAATTAGAAATTCTCCTTGGTCATCATTACATTCTGTCACTGCATCAAAGTTTAATCTTCTCCATTCTGCTTGGGTCTAGGACTGTTGTCCATCTCCACTTATCTTATCCTTATGCATTATGTACTTTTTTTTTTTGTAAATGTTGGTATATAGCTCGTAGAATTACCTCGAGCATCATTCAGGGATTAACTCAACATTTTATCCAGATTGACAATGACGTACAAAAGAACAACGAGCTCGTTGATGCAATCCGAAAGTCTCCGACTGAGGTGCATGAAATTGTGTCCAGGCGTCGCAAGGATTTCACCAAAGAATTTTTTGAGCATTTTCATACTGTGGGAGATTCATACTATGATAATCTAGCAGAGCAAAATGGTGAGATTAACTTATTCACAACGTAGTCTTTCAATAACCTTACTTTCATCGAGAAAGGGATGGATAGATTTCTGTGTATTGTGGATATATCTTAAATAGTAACAATCATATTTGAATGTGGATCTAGATAACTTTGAGACTATGTTGCTTACATTGAAAAAAAAGTAGAATGCTCTGCTACCTGAAAATTTTGAGAGAACCAGCTGGATTTTCTGGTTGACAGCCTGGATCTTTTGTAATAAAATTATTTCAAATGTGAATTACATCAGGTTATAATTAGGTAAATATAATAGGGAAGAACTTTAATGTGTCCATTTAGTTTATAATTGGTCTGATTGTTTTCCTATGTTAGGTAGGGAAAGAGATAAAACTATTTGGTACTAGTCTCAACAATTTTATTTCTTGGTTGAAACTTGAAAGCCTCAATTGATTGTCGAAAATCATGCCAAAGTTTATTAGAGTGGATTGAATTTTTGGCTGTTTTGTTGGAGACTCGTGATCATAAAATTTATGCATTTCTTGTTGGGAACTGCTACTTCCTTTTTGTAGATTGATTCCTTAAGGGAGTTTATTACCTTTATTTTGTTCGTTTTTCCACCATTTTTGAGGGCTTTCCTTGTTTTGTAATTTTTTTTTTTTAATTCATCATGTTACTAAAATCTCATATTATTACCCTGAGTATGATACTTGTGGTTTCATGTGTGGGCCATTTTGTCGAATTACCTCTGAATATAATGGAAACTCTTCTCCAAGTGTAAGCTACTTGATGCACGATTCCTTTATAGTTTATAGGAATTAAATTTCGGCTAAAAAAGTTGTCTTAGCCGGAATATTTTCCCATGTCCTACAGAATTGTTGACGATGCCTCCCTTTTGTCCTCATCTATTTCTTCTTGTTTAGACCTTCTTTTCCATCTTTTATCAGACCAACATATTCTTTGGCATTAACATTTTCTCTCTTTGTGTGACTAGAAATTTTAAGGCTTAAGAGAGCGTGCTTAGCCGCGGTACTGGCATATGATGCTGCAGATGCTATGGGAGCACAAAATGCTGGACAATTGAATATCCAAGACATAATTAATTCTCCTTCAGCATCTACTGCTGCTGCTTCCCAGCTGGATCTCACGAAAAATGCTGGACAATTGAATATCCAAGACATAATTAATTCTCCTTCAGTATCTGCTCCTTCCCCGCAGATTGGCATTTCGGCTGATAAAAATCAGTTTGGTTCGGCTCTGGATCTCATAAATATAAAAGCTTGGGCAGGTACCAAGGAGACAAGCATGATGAAAGAAGAGGTAATCGGTTTTAGTGGCTCATCTTCATCTTTATTTTTATGTAGACCCACTTCTTTGGCTAGCTGACTTGGAGATAATTCTAGAAAATTAGTAGAGAAGAGCTGGACTAAGATTTGCATCACATAGCTTTAGAATTTCCCATAGACCCATGTCAAAAAACATTAGTACATTACAAGATGAAAAATATGCATATCTACTTAAACTTATTATTATCATTATTTTATTTATTTATTATTATTATTATTACTATTATTATTATTATTATTATTATTATTTTTGCGTTGCAGGTGCAAGATACAATGTTTCATTTTTATAAAACGGCGGTACGTAATGCCCAGAGGCTTGTGCCGAAAGATGTCAGGATACTCAAGTATTTGCTCCAGATTGAAAACCCTGAAAGGCTGATGAGTGCTTTAAAGGATGCTTTTACCCCTGGCGAAGAAGTTGAAGGAACGTATGTAGACACCCTCTACACGTATGTATTCGATCCCTTACAACTCTCTAGAAAAACCACACACAAACGTAGGAAAGCAGCAACTGTAGTGACCTTAGTTATGCCTATTGCCCGTAAGAGTGTGTCTGACATACAATTATCTGATTAGTTACATAATGTGTTTGGTTTTCAATTGTCCCCTTCTTGTTTTATCTTTGGAAATTAAAAAAAAATAAAAAAAAATAAAAAAAATAGTAACCCATTATTTGAACAGGACCCCCCAGAAGCTGCATGCCTTGATTAAGACTCTGGTGGATGCGTATCATTCCAGCCGAGAGGGCTCTGTCATGAGGGAAGTCCGGGATTTAATGGATCCAGAATTCATCCAAGAACTGGAACAATTGGAGAAGATAATCCGGAATAACTTCTTGTGAGCTTCCATATCCTTGGTCAGCTTTTCTCTGGTTACTGCAAACCAGAACAAGTTTCATGAGGTTGTTGTGAAGCCGAATAGTGAATGCATGAATTTTCAGCTTGAGTTTAGGAAATGCAAGGGCACTTTGAAACTTGTATGAAAGCAATGTTTTGGGCTGTGCAAAAAGAAAGAAACAAGATTACTGTGATATTGGCCATCCTTACACTGTGTGTAAATTGTATGACTAGACTTTTAAGTAATGGAATTTTCAGACAGATACTTAAAGAAAGGGGATTTACCAACCAGCTGCAGATATTGATTGCTATCAAATCTCTAGATGTTATTTTTGGGCTTATGGACCTATAGAGCGTGTTTGTATACAAAATTATTATTTTAATATAAATTTAAAATTCCACTAACAACTAATCATATTATTTTTTTCCAAATTAACTTTAGTTGACTAAAAAAATCCACTTTGAGTGAAAATTTTTATATACAAACATGCTCTTAGTGTTC